ATGCATGAGTGTAAGATTTAGAGAGATGTATAACAATTTGGAAATATTAGGTAAAAACAACCAAAAAATGTAACATTATAAATAGGTTACGACTATGTCAGACCATACAGAAAACCTAAAAAAGATTGGGAGAAAATAAACAAATGAATTAACTGACATGGAATAACTTCTGAATAACTATGTGGTTTTTCCTTCTGTGTTTCTGCATTGGTTGAATTTTCTGTAACTAACAAGTATTATAATAGGACCCATCTCTTGAGGTTTACGCAAAGATTAAATGCTTCGCACAGTGGTGAAAATAAAATGGGTTTTCATTAAACATTCAAAAGTTTTGAAAAATACTACAGTATTGCTTTTAATTAAATACTGCCATTTACCTTCTCTGCATTCACAAACGCCTGCAAAATGAAATAAAGGAATAAAAACATCTAAACTCACAAAGATAACAACAACAAAAAAGAAAACAGGATGAGCAAATGGCAGGTAAAGGACTTCAACACATTTTTAGATGAAGAACAGGAGACGTGTTAACTGACTCGGCAGAGAGGAGCAAGTATGCTCCAGTGCCCACAGAGGGGTGCGACGTGGCCTATGGCTCCACAGACCCAGGGAGCCCAGAAGTACAAGGTGCCTGGATGGGCCAGGGCGGAATGTGGGCTGATCCACAGCAAGGCAGCTGAAGACGGTGGGCACAGAGGTTGGCAATTATAACAGGATGCTGCTGTTGCTCTTTTGGGCTCTGCTGTGAACCGTGTTTACATGTACATGGTCATAGTAATTAAGTATTTACTCTGGTTTCAACCCCAAATCTTGATTTTACTATATTTTGAGAACAAAGGAGGAAAATTGAAAGGGGGGTGATAAAACAGAGAGAGCTAAGTCTTCAACTATCAAGGCAAGAGCTAAATAGTCATTTCTAAAATAGACAAATGAAGAAATAGTGGCATGCACATACACAGCTGTCCCTCAGAATCAGCGGGCAGTGGTTCCAGCACTCACCCACCCTTCCATAGATACCAAAATCCACGGAAGCTCAAGTCCCTGATATAAAATGGCATAGTATTTGCATGTAACCTACGCACGTCCTCCCATATAATTTCTTTTATTTTTTTTGAAGGACATGATAGTTTATTTTAAAAAATTGTACCACACTGATCATGATGACCAGCATACACGTGATAATGGCTTTTCTCTTGGGTATTAATACTGCAGTGTTTTCATATACTGAAATTTTCAGTAGGACCAAGAATGTTAGAGAATAAAGATCTTAGATGAAAATGAATGCTAATAATTCTGGTATCCTCTCCCTTGGAATTTAAACCCCTCATGAAGCAGTGGCATTGTAACGTTACGTAGTTAAGAAGAATGAAAGTTCTCTTAGAATTAGGCAGCATGAACCCATACTTCCTTCCACTTTCATCTTTAGTTTTTATAATTTAAGTTATGTCCACCCTGGCTAACGTACAATCATACAAGACACCTCACATAATTTCCATGCTACCATTGCACAAGTTTAGTGACTTAAAAAAAAAAAATCAAAACACCATTAAAATAAAGAGGCAAATAAAAGTGAATTTCAAATTATTCAAAAAGCATAATGCTTATGTCCAATACAGACTCAAACTTAAATTAAATGCTATATTTATAATTTCCAAACTTTTGCAATAAAATTAACATTTACATGTATACATGGGTTTTATTTATAGATTTGTATTTTGCAATCAACAAGAGAAAGTTACTTTTTAAAGAGCAATATATTTGGTTACAGTTCCACAAATCTGCAGTAAAGACAAAGCCACATGATGTTAAATCTGGCTCTAAGTAACCTAAGGTACAAGATTTTGACAAATATCAAAATTATGATAATCTGATCTTAAAAATTAAACCCGTGAAATTACTTTTCAGAGAGTAAATGTGCTGGTGAGTAGTTATTTCACTAACCTTTTCTTTTTATGACTGTCTGCAAACTGACCCTTTTTTTCAATCATTGTGACTCACTAATGTTTCAAACTGACCTCTTTATTTTCGTGTCGCCACTTCGGTACCCAGGGATTTCTGAGACAGTGTAAGTCTGACTTCATAAAAACAGTAGATACTTTAACCTTTCAGTGACAGTTTTTAAATCTGTAAACTCAATAATCACGTTATTTAGCTCAGCAACTATAAAAACATTGAGATTTCGGCATTTAAAGCCAGAATCTCTTTGTGCTTTTTAAATTAAGCTGCTTTTGAATCTTTTTGGTATTTATCAGCCATTTGTATTTCCCTTATAATGAACTCCGACTAGAGCAACTATGTAACTTTGTGCCTTTAGACTCTTGGTTTTTCATTTCTCCCCTCCCCTCCCTTTTTAAGTAAGACACAACTTTTCTGATTGAAAGAGTGTAAGGCCAGTGCATACAATGACAAACTGATGATAACCTCATGTTGGCAGGGGCTGGAGTGGGAGAATCAGCTGTCATTGATCTGCACAGCAGGCATCATCTCCTGATAAGATGCTGGTCAACACAGAGGAGTGAGACTCCCTGCTCCTCTTGGATGCCAAGTCTATCAGGGAAGAAACGGTGCCACTATATTCCCTTAGATGCTACAGCAGCATAGCTTCTTCATGCAAGTGTCCCAAAAACTTGGCATGAAGATTTCAGCAAACACGTCTTACAACACAGAGAAGGAGTCTAATCAATCAGGGGATGAAACTATAGAATCAGTGACAACACACACTTGGTTTTGGTTCTTAGGAGGGTTTTGTTTTTGTTTTTGTTTAGCTTGAAGATTTTCTTTCAATAGTCATTTTTTTTTAAATGGATCTACACTATTAACTGATTGAGACTCCACTGTGATTCACTCGTTTACTTAAAAACTTTTCAGGGATGTCTGTAAATTTCAGTGTTTCACATGATGAAAAGTGGTATTGGTTGATCTAAGGAGGGACCAGAAATAATTTCTACTATTCCAAATACTGAAGGAAAAGAATAATTGATTTATATTGTGTTTAAAAAAAAGTATTGATAAGCCCCCAGAACATTTAACCTTAAAAATTATTTTAAATACTTGCAATCATTTGTAGCTGACTTACAATCCCTCATACAATGCCTACACACTGCTTCATGCACGAGATTCAACATAGCGGCGGCAAATTCAAGTTTTACTTTTTGGAATTTTGTGGAATTCTTTGTCTGCATATTTTTGATTCGTGGTTGGTTGAATTCACAGATATGAAACCCACAGATATGGGGGGATGACTGTCATTTAGAAACACGGAGGCCAGAATGAAAAAAAAAATAACTGAAAGTGTTGAAAGTGGTGGCCACAGGGAGTGGAAAGCGCAGGTGGACAGAGGTGGGCCGGGGAACTAGTTTGTTTTGTTTTTTAAACTGTAAATCTCTTGGGTGGGGGGGTGTTTATTTCAACTGTGTTTGTACATTACTTTGATAAAATTCAAAAGCAATTTTGATTACAATCTGGCTGGGATATGTATTATCTGTTTGGCGTGAGGTGTCCTAATTTCTAAGTTTCACCTCTGCCCTCCCCGTGACAGGGCAGTAACAACACCAACCTCAGGACACTTCAGGAAGCAAACACCTGATCATATATGTAGAGTATTTGGCATAGACATTCTCTATAAAATGCTCAAAAATTATGTGAGCATATGTGTGTGTGTGTATAATCTCCAAAGTTAGCTATTCTGAGTTAAGGAAACTGATAACATGGGTTCAGTACATTTTTATACTTTTAGCCACAGCCCTGGCTTTAAATAATTCCCTCCTACATGAGCTACATTCTGGATCTTCAGCCAGAGCTGTAATGACAGATGTCTAGGACCCCTCAGACATCATGTCACAGGACAGGAATTAATGTCGCTTGGTCTCTTGGCTGGGCATTGTCTGCAGCCCAGGCCGAGCTCTCTTTGACAAAGGGAAGCAGAAGAGGGGACGCTGCAGTGAGTCCTACACTGTCCCCCAGCCCTCCCAGCTCACCCGTCCCCCCCAGAGCACCTAGATGTCTCCACTGTGCCCAACCTCCCTGCATTTCCTGCTGCCTCGTGGGCAACAGAGCATGAGTAGCGAGGGTCAGTGTGACCTGCAGGAGGAAGTGCAGCTTCTGCCCGGGCTCCAGAGCTCCTGGGCTCCGGGGCTCAAAGCCAGTGCTTCCTCCTTAGATGTCACAGTGTTGCCCTGTGTGTCTGATAACTGTGGGCCCCCAACTCTTTTGCCCTAGTAAAGAGCTGACATCTTTCACTCTTGGCCACAAATACCACCATTCTTGACATTGTTCCAGGACTGTGCACATCTAGTCATTACTTGATAGGGTGAAACAATCCTTAGAATGAAAATTGAGAGAACTGGTCTTAAGTCTCACTCTGCTTCCAGTCAACCGCATTATTTGAGCAAATCATTGAATTTCCGTGAGTCAGTTTCCTCATCTGTAAAGTGGGCATGTTGCTGGTATTTGCCCTACCTACAAGTGTGTATAATCCATAGCAGCTGGAATTACTGAAGGTGAGAGGGCTTTGCAAGCTGTAAACTACTAGACAGAAGCAAGAGGAAAGAGGAGAAAGAAGAGAGAGAAGAGGAACGAGGTAGTACTCTCATAATAGAGATTGAAAAGGCAACAAACTTACCTTTCTCTGTGAGGGAAGGCAGAACAACCGAAGGGCAAAAGCTGGGAGCATTATTTTGAGTGACTGAAAAGAAGCAAAAGGCAACCTTTTAGTTCTTCTCTACCCCTCAGTATCATTGAGTTCTGAAGGCATTAATAGAGGTACAAGATGGTGATATTGAAGTTGGACTTGGAAGGCAGACTGACTGCACCACCCCGGCATCAGTTAGGATGGGCTCGGTTACGCCGAGGTAGCGATCTCAGCATCACAGTGGCTGCAGACAGTAAAGGGTCCCTCTCCCTCTTGCCACGTGACCACTGCAGATGTCCTGGGCTTTGCTCTACGTCTTTCTTCCTCAAGGCTCAGGCTGAACAAGCTCCTTCTTGCCCCAGGCTTCAACAATTGCCAGAGCAAGGCAAGGCCAAAGCAGCACATTTCAGTTTTGTTCTTACAGCTTCTGCCCAGAAGTGACACACACAACACTTCTCTGCCCATGACACTGACCAAAGCTAGGAGGGGTGAGGAACTGCAGTCCTACCACATCCCGGAGATTGGAGAGCCAGAAACGTGGCCAATAACACAAATGTGTGCTGCCAGCACTTACTGACCCTGTGAACTTGGCCGAGGCACCTAACCATTCTGGGCCTCAGTTTCCACATGTGTACAATGGGGATAGTACTACCTACCTCGAGAATTACTGTGAGATTACAGGAGTCAATGCAATTTATTGCACCTGTCACTGTGCTAGGCATACGGTACAAGCTCAACAAACATCAGCTACTACCAGCAGGTGGCATGACACAGTGGACAGCCTGGACTTGTGGGCAGACAGACCTGGATTTGAAGCTTGATACACCACTTGGAAGCAGTGTGGAGGGACTGCCTCTAACTGACGTGTTCTACCCTCAGTTTCAGCATTGGTGGAATGAGGATACTGTAAAAATTAAATGAGAAGCCATTCGTACCCAGTATGTAATACATAAGTGCAAATTATCTTCTTCCCCTTCCTCTTCCTCTTCTGAAAAAATACAAGTCTACAAAGTCTCATCATTCTTTTCTCTTCCAATGGCCCAAACTAGGACTGTGCTCAGGATGTCCTCCTTCACTGGGAGCTGCAGGCAAGAGTAGGGGCTTTGGGGTCAGCAGCCCAGGGTGAGATTGACTTGGCCACTTTTGTGCTATGTGTTCTTGAGCAGATTACTTAACCTCTCTGGCCTCAGTTTCCTTGTCTATAAAATGGAGGTAATAACAGTACCTTTCTCAAGGGTGTGAGGTTTAGGTGAATGGATAAATGTACAGTTTTTGGCATACAGCAAGCGCTCAATAAGTCCATTATTCGCTCTTGCTATTGCTTTTATAATAACAGACTGTCGTCATGACTCTTTTCCCTATGTGCATCCATGAAAAGCCTCGGGACAAGGTCATGCTCTATTCCAGTCCCCGAAGTCCCTGTGTGGGTCCCCTCACATCCACCTCCTCCCCCACTTTCTTCATTTTGGTCAGAAAAACCAAGAGCCAGCCTCTCTGGGTTCTAGAGGCTTCAACTGTATTGTGTCTTTTCCGGCTTGGCTCTACCTGCCTGGAAGCACCTGCTACCATCACCCTAAGGCACTGGTTCTCGAACTTTGGCAGACATTGGAATCACCTGGATGGCACAGTGACACACACCTTGCCGGGCCCCACGCCCAGGGCGTTTGATTCAGCAGGTCTGGGATGGGGCCTGAGATTTGGCATTTCTAGCAGGTTCCCAAGAGATGTTGATGCTGCTGGTCCACACTGAGCTTAGGCTTCTGTCATCCCACATTATGTGAGCTCCTCGTACAACATTCATAATTACTAATAACTATCTCCATGCTCCAATCCACCCATCTGGCCACCTTGACACTTGTCACCTTGTTTCGTTGTGATTTGTCTGTTCTTCCTGGAAGGGATTCTCAGAACAAGCATCCTGAGAGTACAATCTTCAGGGAACAATTTGGCTAACTATATCAAATACATTGAAACGTCCTCGCCCCTGGATACACTAAATCAGCTCCTAGAAATTTAGTTTGTAACTCAAAGCAAGCTTGGTTTGCAAAGGAAACATTTCCCAATACTGAGGGAAATCTGGAAACTACATCAAAGTTCTAATAGTATGAGAGTGGCTGAATGGGCTCTAGAACATTCCCTAGGGGGATGACCATGCATCTCACTTCAGCAAAGCGTTTGTCATGTAGTTCTGCTGCTGTGGCTTTACTCATTTTTTCTCAGTGAGTAAAAGTGAAAAAAAATAATAGGTCTTATTAGCCTGTGAGTGGGACCTTCTTCATTGTACGGGACCAAGCTGAGCCCTGAGGGTTCCCAGCTTCTCTGCCCCTGGGGCACTGGAAACCTCCACACCCTCAGTTCCTGGGAGGACTGAAAACTCCCCTGGGGACCATTCTACTGAGACACTTACTGTGTAACCTTGGGGGAGCTAAACAGATGCACACTATCCTTTCCAGGACTCACTCTGCTGAAGCCAACTCACACAGGCTTCCAACAGTGGATAATGCAGGGCCCCTGCCCAGCCCTGCTTCCAGCAGCGTCAAGTTGGTAGCTTGAAATCAGCCATCATGGGAATATTTACCCCGTGGAACACGGCAGACACTTGTGATATTGTTAACATAATAAGAAATATATATTTGGTCTTCATCCCAGGTCCTGGCATAGAGCTCCTAAAGCCCTTGTAATATCCTCAGTGATAGGAGTGATAGGAACATCTTTTGTTATACTATTTTGTCTTAGTCATTGGTTTCTGACACTAGAGCTTCTAAGACCCTTGGGATCTCTGGAGTGAAAAAAGTATCTATTTGTTCACTAATGAGATGGCTGGTGGCCAGGGGTACCCCTAGATAGATTCAGAATAGGGGCCAGTGGCCACAAAGTCCAAGGTATGATTAGATAGTTGGGACTTTTAGCCCTATCCCCAACCCTCCAGAGAGCTCCTTCACCAATGGCCAGTGATTTAATCAATTATACATAAGTAATGGAACCTCCATAAATCCCCTAGACAACTGGGTTTGGAGAGTTTCTGAGTTGGGAAACTCATAGAGGTGCTGAGAGGGTAGTGTACCTATAAGGATGTGGAAGCTGCATCCCCAGCCCCCAGTACCCTACACTTCTCTTTCATTTGGCTCTTCCTGAGTTATATGCTTTATAATAAATGTCAGTAGTAACGGCTTCCCTGAGTCCTGTGAGCTGTTCTAACACATTATCAAACCCAAGGAGGGAATCATGGGGCCCCCACTTAACTTATAGCCAGTTGGTCAGAAGTACAGGAGGCCCAGGCTTTATGATTGGCATCTGAAGTGAGGGGGCAGTCCCCTGGGACTAAGCCCTTAATCTGTGGGGTCTGACTTCAACTCCAGGTAGTTAGTGTCAGAATGAATTGAATTGAATCATTAGACACCGAGTTGGTGTCCAGAGAGTTGTAGAATTGGTTGGAATGGGGGAAAAAAACCAACGTATTTGGTGTCCGAAGTAAAAAATAGCTCTCACCCCCACCTTCGGCACTTGTGAAATATTTGCCAGCAAACACCAAATGGGGCTATCAATAGGCCCCACCTCATCAGACTGTTGGGGAATTAAATGACATAATACATGGAAAACCGCTAGCCTTGTGCCTGGAGCACTGTGCTCGGGAGAAGGTAGCGGTTGTTGAGATGATGTGAATAAACGGTGGTGAAGATCGGCTTGTACAGTAAACTGCTACCTACGTGTGGGAGTTTCTACGTGGGCTGCAGAGAGGCATAATTAGGACAACTTGTCATTTCCTCTCCAGGTTCTGTTCCTGTGTCTAGAACTGCAACAAGGTCCAAATGCATTTGCTCAGCAGAAGAGAGGAACTGGGAGGCTTTGTTACTTTAGAAGTCACTTTTGACTTTGTAAACAAACCAAAGACCCTGCCTTGCAGCTGCAGATAGGACGGTCAGTCCCAGTTTCATTCTTCACAAAGAACAGAAGGTGCCAGCGCCCCAGAGGCTCACCCCTTCCAGGAAGCCCTGGGCTCGCGGCACTGTTTGACCACAGAGCAGCCCGCTCAGTACCCTCTGTACTTCCACCCTGGTCCTCTGAAGGCTGATGTTTCCTCTCTGGGTCCTGCTGCCAGGAAGGGGCTCAAACAGCCTCATTTGCATTCACCTTTGCTTAGGCTGAGCCTCTGTGGTTCTGTGCTGAGACATATGGACCTTTCTGATCACTTGAGATAGCAAAGGCAGAAGGCCGTGGCCGCAGGCTCTTTGGACTCCCCTCCTGGTGCTCCCTGCTCTAGTCTGTGCCTTTTTTCTCCTGGACGGATGCTGGAAGACTTAGCTTCGTCCTTTGTTCTATGAACACACCCAGTAAGGTTATGCTGTAGTCGCCTGTGCAGGTCTCTCCCTCTGAGAGGATGCGAGGTCTGCAACGGCGGGAACCTGCTTACCTTGTGCCACCTACTGCCTATTGCTAGGAACAGGCCGCTGCTCCCTCACCCGACTCCCCTGTATCTATGCCCAGCTTTCCCCTGGAGTCACTTCTGCAGAATTTTCTGTTCCCCTTTCATGCTCTGAAGGAGCACCGCCACCCCCAGCCCACCCTGGGATCCCACCACAGTAACACAAGCCACAGTGCTGCAATTCTCTGATCACAGAGAAGTGATTATCTCCCAGGATGGGAGAGGAATCGACCAGCCTCATGAAATGAGTGAGTAAATCCACACGGGAAAAGTGCTTTAGAGTTTTGGCTGACATACAGTGAGTGCTTAAGAGAGGTGCATTTTCTTTCAATCTGCCTCCTTAGCCAGACCATCAGCCCTTCTCAGGCAGGGACTTTAACCCCTTGTGCCTCTATGGTGTTTGGCACATAGTAGGAGTTCAATAAATATCAGTTCCTGATCCTTCCTAGGGGTAGGTCCTCAGAAACAGAGGACCTAGGATTAATGGGATCATGGTAACCACTCGATATAGACATTGCTACACTGAACCATCAAACCATGGATTTGAAGCAAGGCCAAAGTCTATTATTGAAATCCTCCATCAGAATTCCTTTATAAAAATGTGTAAACTAAAAATAAAACCATAAGCCCCCCCACCAACTGAACAGACCCCCTCTTGGCCAAGGGGACCCCAGAGAAACCTTAAAACTGAGTTCCCAGCTATGAAGGGAAGGGAGATCAGACATACCTCATTATGCCCCCTCCCTTTTGGAGTTTAGACACAACTGACCAGCAGTAATGTTAAAACAGAGATCATAAGACTGACAAAATAGGCTCTTTGTGTCAATAAGATACTGAATTATTAACAGGATCTAAGGCCATGAAAGGCAAATGTTAAGTCACACTTGCAGGCTATCAGTTTGCTTAGCAGATCACTTGAGTGGGTATATTTTGGCTTGTCTATGATTAGCAGACTTCCTTATCTTAACTTAATACATTTCGAGCTTTTAAATAAAGCTTTATTTTTTTAACCAATTGCAATCAAAGAATCTTTGAATCTACCTATAACCTGTAAGCCTCAGCTTTGAGATGTCCTGCCTTTTTGGGCCAAACCAAAATATGCCTTCTATGTATAGATTTATAATTTTTTACCTGAAATTTCTGTCTCCCTAAAATGCATAAATCCAAACTATAACCCAATCACCTCGGGACCACTTGCTCAAGGCTTCTCGGACTCATGGATCCCTAGGCCATGGTCACACACTGGCTCAGAATAAACCTCTTTAAATTGTTTTACAGAGTTTGTGTGCTTTCCATAAGCAAATGTACATCTCACATGCCAGCGCTGCCTCAGAGGTGGAGGTGAGGGTCCTAGCCATCTTTCAAGGCCCAGGCCTACTGGCTCTTCCTCCATAAAGCACTTCCTAGCCCCATAGAGGCTATTTCCTACTATTACATATGCAATTGTCTAATACGAAGACAAGAGTGGGAGAAAAATAATGATGATGTCAGCCTCAGTGGTGGGATTTTCCAGCAGTATACTGGTGTGGTTTTGTCTACTAGAGAAAGTAGAATCCAAGACCGTAATAATAATCAGAACTCAGCTAATGCATTTTGGCTCAAAATTATCATGAATCAAAAGATTTTTAATAGTTTTGTACTGGCCAACATGACCCAACTGGGAAAATAGTCTTATTTATTAGCCCAGTCTCCTGAAGTAAGATTCCTTTTCTCTGCCTAGGTCTTGGGAGGAGATAATCCATAGGGTCGTAAGACTTACCCACCACCCACTTCTGATGAAGATGACTTAGGAGAAAGAACCTTATCCTGCTCGGATGGAGTCACATGACACCACCATCACTGCCCTCTGACAGCCAAACCTCCTCCTCTAGTTCTGAGCCACACACACCAGAATATGTGCATCCCAAGGGTGTTTCCTACCCAGGGGTCACAGATGGAAGAATGAGAGACGGATGCCACTGTGGCACTTTTTCTTTCTCTCCCCACATGCCCAAACGCTGAAAGCAGGCAGCACGTGGTGTGAAGACCACCTGCTTGGGCAGCTCTGTGCCAACAGGCAGAGGAGACTGCAGGAGCTAGTCATCGAGGCCACAAGGAGGGCCCAGAGGAGCCTCCAGCAACAGACGTCCAAGTCTCCTCCCTGGTCTCAGTGCCTGTCTCCTCCAAACGCATGTTGAAATTAAACTGCCATTGCAATAGTATTAATAGGGGGGACATTTAGGAGGTGATTAGGCTATGAGGGCTCTACCTTCACAGGTGGAATTAATGTGGCTATAGAAGGACAAGTTCAGCCCCCTTTCTCTCTCTCTGCTCTTCCACCTTTCTCCGTGGGATGATGAAGCAAGAAGCCCTTTGCCAGATGCTGGCACCTTGATATTCGATTTCCCAGCCTCCAGAACTGTGAGCCAATACATTTCTGTTTATTGTAAATGACCCAGTCTGTGTATTCTGTTGTAGCAGTACGAAATGGACTAAGACACCTCCCAGGCAGAATTAATTTCTTCCTCCTGTGTTCCCATGGCACTTTATTGATAAGACCGTTCTAGTACTTAGTCTTTTCTGCTATATTCAATCATATTTCCTTCATGTCTTCTTCACTAGGTTGTAAGCATCTAAGGAAAATGACTATATCTTATTAATCCCACTTTTCCCGGTACCCAGCACAGTGCGTGGCCCAAAATAGACACTCAGTAAGGCTTTAAAACGTCTTATGATAAGAGAGATGCAGCACAAGAATGGCTTATTTCTTTATGGTCTATAACTCCTCCTTAGACTGAGAGTGCCTGGACAACAGTAATCATGTCTTATTTACACTCAGCCATGTAACACAGTGACTTAGAGTCAGAAAGACTTGGGTTCAAATTCTAACTCTGTAATCTACCTGCTGTGTGACCTTGGGTAAGTAACTTAACCTCCCTGAGCCCCTATTTCCTCATCTGACTTGGATGTGAGGATTCAATGAGATAATGCTTACAAACTGCTTGACATCCAGCCAGGCACATGGTCAGAGCCCAACACACAGAGGCTAGATTTGTAATGCCAGAGGGCCCAGGAATGAATGATGCTCACTCAGTATCTGTTGAAAGAGTGCCCCTCTGTGAATTTTTAATTCCCTGCCCTGTAGTTCCTGGTCAAAACTCCTGAGTTCCCAGAATGACCCTACAGAATATATGTTGGAAAAAGTTAGTGGTCCGTGAAGTCAGATGAAAAGAAACAGAACAGATGGAATGAGTTGGGACAATGAGTACCTTGGGTTCTTTTCCTTGCCAACTCCTGTCAAAATGTTGGAACACTCTGGTCTGATTCCCATTATATCTCTGAACGAATGAATTACTCTCTAAGCTTCTTTTTACCCAACTCTTCCATGAGTAAAACAAAGGTGGAAAATGACATTTTTCAGACTTTGGTAAGGCGAGGAGGTGAGAGGATAGATGGGGCAGGGCGGCATTGAGAGGTGAGAGTTCAGTTCTGAAACCCTCCAAATGCCCAGAGCTGGCGCCAAGTCTCCTTCAGAGCTAAAGTCCTAGGCAGGCATTTACTCCCTGTTCCTGTGAGTTAAAGAAGGAAAACTGCTACGTATGGAAAAATCTTCCCTAAATAGAAACCCACTTAGGCTATTTCATTATACAATCCTGATGTTTCTTCTAAAACAATTCAAGATGTTAAAATAAAATAAAAAGCCAACAGAATAAATTCAGATCAAATCACAGCATGCTGAAGGTGGACATGAGCAGGAAGATTCCATTCAGCCTGGTAATAATTAACTTCAAAACAATCTGCCGTGAAGTGAGGAACACATAGGGACCGGTGGGCTCAGGAATAGGGGCTGAGGGCCAGATTCTGCTGGGAGCCCTGTCTGGACCTTTCAGGTTGGACCTGGCTCTGGAACAAGAGGCCAAACCATCAACTGGTTTGGTTTGTTAATTTATTATTCTTTTTTCTTTTCAATTTATTAGTCAATTTCTTGTTAGTTAATTGAGTTGGGGGAAAACCAGTCAGACAAGGTATTTAGACATTTTCATATCAGTCACTTATGGTATATTGAAGACCCACCAGGAGGCAACAGTGTAAAAGGGAAGAATGTAAGTTTGGAATCATCAGATTTGGGCTTTCAACCCAACTCTGCTTCTTATAGCTCTCTAACTTCCACTTTCCGTGCCACACCCATCTCATCCTAAAGTAGAAGAAATACTACCTACTCCATAGGGGTATCATGAGTATGAAATGACATGACCCATCATGTGTCTGGCATATGGTAGGCACACGAAGAATGCCAGTTCTCCTCTCTGCCTACTTTGGGCAAAGTGTTATACTGAGTCCAAGACTCTTCCCAGATCAGATGTTGCATGACTCTAATTTCTTGGGCAAGTACTAAGCAAGGGCCAGCACCCATCCTATGTTTACCCTGAAACCCCGGAGGAAGCCACTAGTGGGAGAGGTTGGAAACACTAAACTTCAGCTCAGCCTCTCCATTTAACTCCTCCTAAACTGACAGGGCTTTTGATCTTTTTGGATCTAGGACATCTTGGTGAATTTGCTTCTGGGACACAGAGAAAGGAAGTCTAATTTCCATGGAACTGCCATACCAGAAACACCCAGGAAGTGAGAGGTGACAGGACCACAGCGAGGCTCACTCACTTATTTTACCCATGGAGAACTGGAGAAGTGGTATGGCTTTCCCAAGGGCAAATCCATAGTGGGTGGCAGAGTTGGGAAACACCAATGTCTACTCATCTGAGTCCAGTAGCTGCTCCACCACACTGTGGAGGCTATTCATTCATTCCCTCATTGATTTCGAAGCAAGACTCTAAAATGTGCCAGGATATAATCACCACACATGCCTTAAAGACCCACATCGGGCCAATATCGCCTTGGCCTTGAAACCCTTATTCTGTGTGTATCGTCAAATACACATCAGTCGTTCCCCTTTTCCCTCCCTGAGACTGCCGTGTGCTGCATTGTGCTGATGAATAATCAAGGTGAGAGAAACAAGGGAACCTGGCAGGGTCCACACCTGTTGATCCTGCCTGTCCAGCAGCAGCGCCTTCTCTCTGCTTTGAGAAGCCTCCCCTACCCCAGTGCACGCAGAATCGCTGGCACTGTCAGGCTGCCCCACCCGCCCTCTGACAGTGGGTGGACTTGGAGCCCAAGCAGGGCCAACTCTCCCCCTCAAATCTACAGACCGACTACAACAACCGGAGCCTGTGGAGCGGATCAGTGACAACGGTGGCACACTGAAGAAGCTGTCCATCTGTTCTTGCTAAGCGCATGCACGGAGCTGGTCCACGTCCATATTTTCTGAGGCCAATTTTGTCATCTTTCCTTCGAGGCAATGGGCAGACTTACAATAAATTACTTTTCTGCTTAAATTAAACAGAATCAGTTTCTGTTGTTTGCACCAAATGAATCCTGACTAAACTACTTCCCAATCGAAGGACACTGCCCTAATGCATGGCTGGGAAATGGTGAACTAAAGATGCCTACACAGCTGTCAGGGGCAGGCTACTTACTGGGCTTCTGGTACCACCCGAAGGGATAGGTGCGGACTTCAACGTCAGGAGAGCCACAGTCCAGAATGCGCCAGGCTCCTCCATTCTCCTCGCTGCACATCTGAAGTCCCAAGCTGCTCAGAGTGAGGCACGCCACCTCTCCTCCTGGGGCAAAAAACCGCCAGGAACAAGAAAATGAGCATGATGGAATACTCGAATTGAATGAAAAATCCTGCAAAGTCATTGTTCAGCAGTCACCCGGGTGCAACACCGTATTTCAGGTACAATCTCAGCCACTGCTGAAAACCTGGTTCCTGAACTTCAGGAGCCTCTGATCTAAGAGCACAGGGGTAGAGGCAGCTAATATTTACCAAACACCTATTCTGTGCCCAGGGCTGGGCTGGGGCTCTGTTTATATCATTTCATTTGATCCTCCCACAACCTTAGAAGGAAGGTAGTTTTTGAATCCCTATGTAGAGACGAGGAAACTGAGGCCCAGAGAGATTAAGTGAGTTGTCCAGAATCACACCACTAGTAAAGGACTGAACCAAGTGTTAAATACAGATCATGGGCATAGATCCGAAGTCCACTCCACCCAGTTGGCCGACCCAAGGCCTGAAAGCTGAGCAGAAGACCGCTCAGCGGCGCGTGGAAGGAAGGAAGTCTGGTCGGGTAGAACTGCATGTGTAGAGCTGACCATCGCTGGGCCAGGACCCACGTCCCAGCTGTCACGTTTATTAGCCACTTCCCTCTCTAAGCCCCCACTTCCTTATCTGTAAGTGAGGATCACTCCTCCCTACCCCCAGAGGGGATTATAGGGATCAAATAAGATCACAGATGTGAACGTGTTTTCTAAACTGTAAATTGCTGTACGCAGAGTAGAGTGAGTATGTATGTTATCATTACCTTTTAACTGGGAAACATTCAGAAATCCGAAGCCAGTACAGCATGGGTCCATGTCACACAGGCGTTCACATTCAAAGAACCTGGCATAAGGAGAGAAAGAGCAGGCCTGAAGGCTTCCGCTGGTGTCCCAGGTCCTACAAGGCTGTAGTCATTCTGACTTTTGGGGACCAGCTTTTTTATGAACTACCTAAATTGGGAGTGCTTTGACCAATGCACATGAGTAGATTCTTAGCTTTGAGGGTCTTTCTGAAAACAAATTCTACGTTTCTCAGGAATGTTGTCTTTCCATTCTTCACTCATTCCTGCGTTCATTCATCACGCACATATTCTGTGCCTGTTGTGTGCCAGGCACCAAGCCACGCTAACCCGGGATCCTGAATGTGCTCCTACAATCCCTTCAGGTAAACAGAAAGTCTCCGTTTTGGATCCTGGGAAAAGGAAAAAGTAGTGATGGAAGAATCTGTAGAAAGGGGAGACTCCCTGCGCTTGCACTCAGGGTGACTCAGCTGGGGGCTGCTCGAGCAGCAGGAGCTGAGCCTGTGCTCTCCTTGGCTTCTTCTCCCACTCGCTGCACAGGTGGACTCGTCACACTCGACCAGTGCATTCCTGTTTTCTGGGTCAGCCCACCCAGGCTCTCTCTCAGGACCTACCTTGCTCGCCCACTCAATGTAGCTGCTAGGCCCCATCTTCTAGGAACAGTCATGGCAGGAGGGACTTAGCGCTCCTGAGCTCGGTTCTAAGTTCCCCTTGCCCTGACCACATGTCCCAGTCTGACCACTCATTCCTGACTCCTGAGAGCTTTGCTAGCCCCTTCTTGGTGTGGGGACCCTGCCTCGTTCTTGCCGCTCTGCTTCCCTGAACCAAAGTCCAGCAGCTGAAGCTTTTATCTGCTGGGCAGCTTCTCTAATGATGGCTACATCTGTGTCCCGATGCCTGTGGGCCTCCCTGCCTTTCCCTCTCCTGGGGCCCTGCCCATCTGCCCATCTGCCCATCTGCCCACCTGCCGCTTCCTTTTCCTTCCTTGGAAGCCCATTGCTAAGCTCCAGCCTGGGCCTTGCACTCTCCCGGCCAACTACCCTCCCCTGAGCTCAGACGCACAAGTTCGGCTTCCCTAGTTCCCGTCTCTGCTCCATGGTCAGTCTCCTCCCTGGCCTCAACCCTCCTTTTCTTCCACACAGTGGTGTCCAGCCGGATCTCAAGACAGACTCGCTGAGTCATCTTTTTATCTCCATTTTCAAAAGTAGATCATAAACACCAGCAATGTGAGTCAGTGTCATAACTCAACAACACTTCCTACATCAACAGTTCATGAATGAATGACTCTTGAATTTTAAAGTACAAAAGAATGACCAGGAACGAACTTCCTTAGAGTTCAGATTCTTGAACCTAAGGCCAGGAAATGCTGAGTCAGCGGGTCCAGAATAGGACCCAGGAATGTGGTTTATAAAAAGCTCTTCTGGGCATTCTGAAGGGTGAGAATAAAACAACTAAAGAAAAATTAAGCAAAAAAATAAATAATAAAATGAAATTTTAAAATAATAAGTAAAATAAGTAAAAAGTCCTTAGAAGCCTATGGTTCTAGTAAAAGTTCTCTTTGCTCTCAGATTCTGACTACAGCACTATGAGGCTTTGAGGATCAAGTTTATTATGAGCTTGATAATTTTTATTAATTGACAAGGTGTCTTTCCGATCAGCCTGTCTTTCCCATCAGCCAACTGGAGGTTTAGGGCTAAATTTTATGTTTAAGATGACTAACTTACCTTAGCCAAGGTTTTTTGATATGGTTACCTCCTTATTATCTTTTTTCCCCTTATCTTTGGGTTTTATCGTTTTTTTTTAAAAGTTTTTTGTTTGCTTGTTTGTTTGTTTATTTGTTTGTTTTTAAGAAATGAGGGTCTTGTGATGTTGCCCAGGCTGGACTCTGAACTCCTGGGCTCAAGCAGTCCTCCCACCTTAGCCTCCAAAGTAGCTGGGACTATAGCATGTACCATCACACTTGTATATATATATACATATATTTTTTTTTAATGTTTCTGCCTTTAACAATTATTGCACCAACTTCTTTAAGGAAATATTAATAGAAGGGTCTTAATAATAAAAAATCGGGGTAGGAAATAAGTAGCTTACCCATTGGAAATAGATTTTTCAGACATAGGCACTTTGTTTCTAATGGAAATCCCCATCAGTTTTTGGAATGGCAGGCGAGTATAAAAGTTCGCCACTTTATCCTTCAGTACCACTACACACAGGAAGAAAGAAATAATATTATTTAGAGAAATATTTGCTGTATCCACAAAAATATGAGGACAAAGGAGTAAAAACCAGCCTGAAAGCTTCTAATTCAAGACGACACAATAAATCATGTATGGACTCTCAGCTATCAACTCAAGTCTCAATAAAATCATGGTAAAGGGATTCTTTCTTATAAAAGCATAAACCCACAAAGACTAGAAGAATAAGAGACAGGATATAACAGAGGAGATTTTGGAAGCTAGAAAGCATATAGAGGAATAAAAATTGACTTAATAGACCTAAAAAGGCTGACTCAAGTTCTCTGTGGGAAGAACCAAAAGGCAACTCAATAGGCGTTTTAGAATCCCACAGAGTTTGAGCACTGCAGCACTGGGGTAAAGGGAGCCTAGAACAGAAGGATTTACTGAAAATGTCTTTAAGAAGCAATGAGGTCTCCAGATGCCCTCCTCTGCTCTCCACAGTGGACAGTGCCCTCTCCCCACCGTGGGAGAAGGCGGAAGTTCATTCTGCGGAGAGCATCTCTTGGGTGCATCAGGCAGAGTGAATGGCGTAAGCACCGCATTGAAAGTAGGGGATTCTTTCAGGTCAGACTACATGGTGAATGCTGAGACCTCCCTCCCTTCCAACTTTATTTGATGCCTAAACCACTAGCAACCAGACTTATACCCAAGGCCAGGCATTGAGAGATTTCTCTGCAGAAAGGACCTAAAAATACTGACATGAGGGATCCCCCAAAGGGTGTCCCAACCAGATTATCCTACAGAGAAACCTAAAGTCAAGAAACTGCCACCACACGCTCTGAGCTGCCTGATCAGCGGCAGGCCCCTCTGATATCTGAGTGGTGAAACAGGGGTACAACCAGACATCTGAGAAAGGCCTCCAGCACCAATAGTGAGTGGAAAGGAACAACTTCTGGAGGAAACAGAGACTGTACAGGGTGAAAAAAACTCCAAAAAATGGCATCCCTAATGTCCTTGGGAAGAAAAATCACCTTCCATCTTGCTACAGTCACTGTTGCTAAAATCCTCTGTAGCAAACAGTCCAGTGGGCTACTGCTAACTCATGCACCCATTCACAGTGGCTCTCTCTGAGGAGTGAGATTCCAGAGCAGGACAATTCTCTATAGTCAACCTGATGCATTTCTGAATGGCTTCACATTTCTACAAGGATAACTTTATTTTTTAAAAAAGAAGTTGTTAATCTGGGCATTTCTAAAACCACAGAGCCAGCAGCCCACTGAAAATATGGTTTATGCAGATGCCACCAAGCACACACCTTTCTTCCGGAACAGGGCCTTTGGTCGACGGGGCAGGACCAGTCTGCAGCCCTGAGCACCAGATTCCATGGTGTCATCACACACCTGGGCCTCCGGGTAGAGGGTGCAGGTGAAGTACAAGGGTGCACTCTCTGTTATCTCTGCGAGCTGACAGAAAGCGGGCTCCTGTACACATCCTAGGGACAAGAGAACAGTTGGTTTTTAGTCCCTGGGGAGCCTGCAGGGGAGAATTATCTCTATACAATTCTCTGGGAAAAAACACCTGGCAGGGATCCCTCCTAGTTAGGGCACAGACCCAAGACAGTTACGACCACCCAGTCTGGAAGGCCAAAGCAAAACACTGGGGTTCTGCTAGCTGGGGAGGGGGCCGTGAGGCCCCGAATAAAGGCAGAGTCAAATGGGGTGAGGGGTAAGGCTCACATTCGGCAATACAGGTGGTGAAAGGATAAAATTCCATTGAGTCTAACCATGACCATCTCAGAGACAGTCAAGATCTGCAGACCAAAGGCCACAGGACTGTAAAATCCCCCCTGCCTCCATGCCCATGTCACTCTCTGCCTCTAAAATACATGAGCTCTGCAAGCGCAAGGAACATGGTTGATTCATGTTTTTGATCGTGGCTCTTTTTCATCCCTGAAGTCAAACATAAGGCCCAAAACATAACACATCCTCAGTAACTGATGGATGGATGGATGGATAATAGGTTCTGGGAACAGAGTAGAGATTAACTATACTGTAAAGTTCTTGATGATAAGGGTTATGTTCTGTCTTTCTTCTATGTGACCCATGGTAGTAGGAGTGTAGTGATCCCTGAGTTATACCGCTGAGTTTGACCTTATGCTTCTCAGGAGTTGTTAAATAGGCCTGTTACACCTGCTCACAGGGTCTGGAGAAGAAGGATGGGGTCTCAGGATACTTACGAGACAGGCACCATAGGTTTGCCTGCTGGGCTGAAAACAGATGTTTGAAAAGCCAGTGCTGCTGGCTGGGCAGGGATCGGTTTCCATTGACAATGACCTGGCCAAGGTCCACAGGGGAGAAGAGTTCTGTTGTCAAACCTGAAAAAGAAGGAGAGAGTCAACTTGTTTGCCCTTATTTCTACAAAGTGAATATGAGAAAGACACAAGAATTAAAAACAGAGAGAGACAGAGTCAGAGAAAGAGACAGAGACACTTTTAACCTAAATGAGGCCAGAGGATTAAAGTCAGTAGAACTGGCAGTCTGGTTGGGCAGGAAATATTTTGAAGGCCCCAGAAAGTCCTAAAAACTGTGGAATTGCAGAATCCTAGAGTCTTGGTTTAGAAGAAACCTTGGGGGCCACCTGGTCTACCTTTTTGCCCAACACAGGACTTCTCCTCTTGGGATTTCTGGCTAATATGCCGATAGCCCTGTGGGACATCTCTGTGCCAACCACGGCAGCCCACCCTGTTGTTAGCGAGTTGTAGAATCAAATCTGTCTCTTTGTAACTTTTAACGACCGAGCCTCCTGTCTTCTGAAGCCACATGGAAGCCCAGCCTCTCTCCCACATGGCAGCCTTCACCTGTGAAGACAGATTTCAGCTTTGCTCAACGCTGAACCTGAAAGTTCCAGCTCAACCATTCCCTGAATCTTTCCTTGTGTCTTCATATGCCACGATCCCAGCTTAAGGCTTTTCCTGGGATCCCCACTGCCTACAGAACTGAAGTCCAGGCTCTGTTCTCAGTCTGGGATCTACCTGCATTTTGAGCCTCATCTCTGATTGCCTCGATTTGCACTCCAGCAGCGCACAACCCTGGTAATGCTAGCTCATCACCGCGCCGTTTATAGCCCCCGTATGACTCTCCTGAGGCTTGTGCTTCAAGGAGCAGCTTTGTCCCCTCCTGCTCTGACATCTGTGTCCCTATAAAGAGGTTCTCCAGGGATGAGGGCCCCAACATCCAGACCCAGGGGAATAGCTGTGTAGCTCTTAAGGCCTTTATCTTTCTAGAGGGACTTACGGTAGGGGCATGAAGCAGATTAGAGAGATGAGCTGGGGCATGTTTACAATGTTCATTCATCCGGGGCTCTGAAATAAGGGGCATTGCATCCATGTGCACCCCCACTTTGCTGCGGACTTGGGCATCTCTCAGCAGTCTGCTTTCTGCACTCCATAAAGCGGGCTCATGGAGACGGAGCTTCCTCACTAGCGACAACCAACCAGGTGGGATAAAGGCTTTACAAGCAGCTGGCAAGGCCAGAAGCCTGGTGCTCTCAGAGACCCGGGACCATGTTGCCACCCCAGCACACACTGCACGTTACTATACAAAGGCCAGTTCCCATGCCTGTCTCCCCGCTGAAATGTGCCTGGCATAGGGTAGAAGCTCAGGGAGAGCACCTCTCAGGACAGCAAATAAGGGAGAAAATACAAGACAGCAGGACTAAAGGCACACCTGAGGTGCCCCCAACCACACTTGCCCTCAGAGACTTGGCACAGGTGTTCCCCTCACCTGGAACACCTTCTCCCAGGTGTCCCCTGAAAGTGTCTGGCAGATCCTTCCATGCTCCACTGAGAAGTCTTTCCCAGCCCCCGCAGGCTGTCCAGCCTCCCCCTGCCCCGCATTCCCACTGCACCTGACACCTGTCTGCATTGCAGCCCTTGCCACATTGTCATGCAGGGGCTGGCGTGTGGGAATTCTCACTTGCTGTGCACGTCCAAAGCCACAGCATATGTATTCCAAAAACGTCTGTTGGACAAATGAATGAATACTATAGCCACTTCATTTTATACCTAGTTTACATGCCATATGAGGAAAAACCATTTCCTACTTGTTCTCTTAAATCTTTCCATCCCGCTTAAAGGCAATAACAATCGCTCTCCTTGGCTTCCTGTGCTTGTCTCATTCAGACTGATTGTGGTAACCTGATGCAGAAAGGGGAAAATTCCTCCCTGTGCTCTGAATCAGAGAGACCATTCTCAGCATAGCTTGAGTAAAAGAGCACATGCAGATGCCCCCAGGCCCAGGCTCAGTGCAATTTCTTCTGTAGGCACTGTTATCTTTGTAAGCCCGGGAATGCAACCAACTGAGAAGGGGAAAACGAGCTGAGCTTTGTCTATTCACCGTGGATCCCTCCAAGGCCTTGGACAGGGGCCAAGCTCCCTGCATAGAAGAAAGGTGGGTGGTGGGGCATACCTCCCTGTGGAAATCACATGAGAGTTTTATAGGCGCTGCCCTAGAATAGTGTATAATGATGGATTTTACAGAATGTTTTCAAGTGCCGCTAACTCATTCACATTTACATCACCACGAGCTGTGTGGCTACCCCTAAAAGGCCAAGGTTGGGACTCAGTGAAGCAAATGCCCCTGATCAGGCAGGGGAGAACGGGAGTGCTGGGTGCTGGGCAGTTAGGGGGGCATCTGTTAAGTACCAGGCAATATGCCAAGTGTTTGCCACCTAATGAGATAAGAGGTAGGCAAGATCCTTTTATTCTACACACGAATCCAAGGCTCTTAGCAGGTAAGTAAATTACCCATGGCCACACAGGGTGGTAGCCAGTGGCAGAATGTGGCTCCAGCTCTAGTCTGTCTGCTTTGTGATGTGATGATTCTCATTGCACCACGCTGCCTTCCTGTGCCAGCAGACTCATCTGCCTCTCTCTTTTCCCTCTTCTCCCTCTCCCTCTCTCTCCCTCTCTCTGAGTTTTAGCTCCGCCTCAGGAATAACAACCACAGACTGTAGAGGTAGGGAAGCCTCAGACGCACATATGTGCTGTCCCTATCAACGTTTGGATTGGCTGCAAGCCATGACACTCAGATATACACAGACGGCTTATTCGTTAAACAACTTCGAATATTTACATTGTCTTTACACTCTTCAGGGTTGACATAAGTGAAGCCACTGACCACAGACAGGTGAACCTTGCTCTTTAATATGTTTTTTTCTGGTTTCGTTATTATGGTTATTTTCGTTTCCCACAACAGCAGTCAATTTGCAATGATTTTGCCTTACTTTCTGTGCCAACCACCCATGTAAGGAGCTGCCCATGTTTGTGAGATGGATAATCAGGTTAGAAGTTTAGAGGGGAGTCTGTGGCTGCAGAATAGAGTGATATGAAGGGTCTATTCATTGATTAAATCCTTGACACTGTCATTTTGTCCCCAGGGGGACACCCAAGCGTGTACAAAGGATTGGGGGTTGGTACCTGTTTCTGCTGGAGATGCTGGCCTCAGGCCCCCGTCTCGTCTACATTCCGCAGACTCAGGCCGAGCCCCCATGTCAGAATCTAGGAAGAAAAAGAGGAGAGTAGCTGTAATGTTGGGGAGAAGGGGTGGTGCTCCTCGGGTCAACAAAATGGTAATAGCAGTGTGGGAAATCCTCCCGGTCCACAGCCAGGTGCTTGAGACAAGATCTGGAGCACAGCCCTTGGCATAGGTCAGCATTCTTTGGTCCTTTATGGAACATCAGCCAACCTCGCAATAACAGAACTATTATTGTCTAATATATTGAAACTCGAAGGAGGACAAACAAGCAGAAAGGAAGTGCCGAGTGTATGCTTGGCCTGAGCCTCACGTTTTGTCCCACCCTGCCCCATGGCCCACAACAATATGATCTCTAAACAGGAGTCCATGGCACCACCCAACCGGGGGCCTGTCCCTGAACCCCAAGCCCCAGGGAAAGAGACACACTGGGCCAGGGCCAGGGCCTCTGGGACAAATGCCTCCTGCATTTGCGATAGCTTCAAACTCCACTCCTGGTAACAAGGGCAGCTTGTGGTCAGTGAACGTTATCGCACAGGAATCTAGCACTTTCTCCCTCCATCCTTTCTTTAGTTTCTACACTTTTCATTTTTCTTTTAAACTTTGGTGTCTTATCTGATGAGGGGTTGGGGCCCTCTTATTCCACAGAGAGCACACACTTGGCAAGTATTAATAAATCACTCCACATTTCCCTGCGGGGAGCAGAGTGCCCTGCGAATGAGAGGTGAGGCCAATCTCATGCAACCAGTGTCCTGCTAAGCCACCCGCCCTTCCACCACGGAGCTCACCTTTCCAGAGATAAACCTGCTGGAAACGGGCAAAGGTGTCTTGAGTTCCTTGCAGGGGCATCAGACCTGCAAAGGAAGATGCTTATTTTGTAAGCTTGAGTGTGCAGTCACTGGGAACCCACCATTAACACAACTGCCCCATCTCCACCCACACTGGCCCCTCCTGGGCCTGAGAACTCTGTTTCCCGCACAAGATGTAACCCAAAAGTTTTTGGAGCCCTATTCCAGCTCCCTGCTACAAACCAGAGCTGGTCAGACCTCAGGTGTCACACTCAGAGCACCAAAGGGACCACTTTGGTGAGGGCTGTGAACCTGTGACACAGAATCACTTAAGGAATTGGAGATTGGCTCAAAGGAAAAAAAACTCCTAGGGGACTAGAGGGCTGTGTTAGTTTTCCACATCACTTAGCCCGTCTCACACTCTTGCCTCAGTGGTAAATGGGGGTGGTCATTGTGAGGATGGGAATACTGTGTACAAACTGTCTTCTGGAGCCCTTGACATTTGATATGCAACCACTTATTGGCAACTGACACTATTTAACTTATTACCAATATGCAGTTTTCCTTGCAAATCATATAGCAAACTATATGATTTGACTGGATTTCCACACCATTTCTTGATAGTCAATGTTGCCTCTTTTGCCCCCACTCAGCTCTTAGTTCCTGCCCACCCCCCAGTGATATGGAAGGCTGAGGAAATCACTCAGGAAGTGCAGAGTCTGGAGGCAAAAAGCCCCACGTGCGGCAGGAGGTGCCTGGCTGACAACCTGAGACATCAAGACGTGATCAAATTTTGGTTTTTATTACTATGATGAGCCAGTTACTGATAAGCATTATTATCATTTGCCTAAATCTATAATGAGCACCTTTTATACATTACCTAACAAATCTCATGGGCGTGCTATAAGGTAAGGTCCCCCGTTTCCAGATGGAGGAATCAATGTCAAGAGAGGTTGATACCAGAATTTAAACCCCATCTGTTTGGATCCAAATCCCACGGTCTCTCAACAGCCACACTGAGAAGGGATAATGTACAGTCATGCACCGCTTAACAATAGGGATACATTCTGAGAAATGCGATTTTGTTGTATGTACCTATAAACCTAGGTGGTATATATATATTTCTACTTACATATATATTTTTTCTTGTGGAAAACAAAATGTTCTGGCACGGTTACTAAATATCAATCATTTCCCCTACTTGATCTGAAATGCCAATATCAAGTGCTATATATCAGGTTTCTAGACATGCTCTGTTATAACCATACAGGACCACCATCATATATGTGGTCCACCATTGCCCAAAATATCATGAGGTACATGATTGTACTTTAGAATTCGGTCCATCTAGAATGGTGAAAATTTTAGAAGTTCTTGTGTTTAAAGAGGTGTGCACTGAACTATCCGGAAAATTCGTCCATCAAAATGATGAGTCCCCTCAAGGATGACCATGTTCTATGACATGGGGGTGACCTGCAAATACTGAGCTGCATTTCCATTTGGTTTTACTTCTGAAATGGAGTAAACAAGGATACTAGAACTTCTCAGGCTGCCCAATGTCGGGATAACACATTTCTTTAAAGGATCCACTCATAATTCTCTCGTAGACTTCTTCAGAAGGTAGAAGTCATTTATAAAAATTGGGGAAGTTAAAACCTATGATATCTGGGAGAACTGGACTTGGATCTCTGAAATTCTGAGACCTGTTCCCCGCACTCTGGAGGAGACCTCACCACATACCCCTATGACACCAACAGAGTGGGCAGCCAGCCACCTGGTCGGTTTGTGTTCCGTTTTCACTGTCTCCTCGTGACAGCATCATTTGCTTATTATAAAGGTCAGGCTATGAGACTTTAGACTTTTCACAGGGGAAATCATATAATTTATTTTTTAAATCTTTTTATACCCAAATCTATTTGATATACTGATTCTTTTAAGATAGATAAATACATAGACTATATGTAGATATATATAAATAATTTTTAATAATACCAATGTAAAGTAAATAAAGTTTTAAAAATACTTTAGGTCATGCATTGTGATTCTTATTTAACCTGTAAAAGTTGGAAAAACAACATCTTATCTCTAGGGTGCTTTGTTGTTTTCAAATCTAAGATTAAAACCAATGCCCACTTTAAGAAATAGCTTACCATGGGGTAATATTGGGCATTTAGATTATGAGCCCTCAGCAAAAACTCATTGACATCCCCATACCTGCCCCTTTCCTTTAGGAAATCCTGAAAGGAGGGTCTTTGCCTCTCTGCAGTCCCAGTTTCTGACCTGGAGTGACTTGATGTACCTTTCACTCTGTCCAGACCATCTTATTTTTGTCGGTGTGTGTGTCCTGCTTTACATAAAGTGGAAAATCATAGGTGCCTTCCATTACCCAGAGAAAAACGGGTGCTCTGCACAGGTGCACACAGGTTTCGGACTGTATTTTTGGCCCAGAATGCACTGAACTGTGATAGGAACCAGCCTTCTCACATACTTTGTCCGTACCACGGCAATGGAGCCCTGCGTCTTCCAGCCTGGGAAATATGGTGTCTTAACTTCAGCCTTAGTTTTTGCCCATTTCAACACAATTCAGTCTAATGGAATTCAGTTAAATTCAGCCCACATATTGAGCACCTGGGTAGGTCCAGAAAGTCACCTGGCCAGCATAGACAGAGACTACTGTGTCCTGGGAAACATCTTTATAACTCACAACAAGGGAAGTTATAGCCGCTTGCTGGTTTTCATTATTAAAATGATCGCCAGGTCTCCATAGGAGTGCGTAGAGAACACCGAGGTAAAAGGACTGATACCGCCCTTTGTGCTCTCAACTTCCTCAGCTCCCACCTCCATGTCTACATCCAAACGCAGCTCTTCCTGCGCTCTCTACACCGGTTAGTGGCGCCACCTCTTCCCGGGCCATCCTTGACTCCTCCCGCTCATCAGTCTCTGTGTCCCACCAGGTGTGTCCCACCAGGCCAGCTCCTAAACTGCTCTTTAGTCCATCCACTCCCATGAACCATCCAGCTCAGGCCTTACCCGTGTCCGAACGTCATTAGACTTTGACCCCCTCACCTTGACCTTGGCTTCTTCCCATCCCTCAGCTGCACAGCCCCAGGCATTCTTCCTGAAAGGTAGGCCTGCCTCCATCCTGCAGTAGCTACACAGACTTCAAAATTCAGTTCCTTGTGATCTGGTTCCCGACAGCCGAGCAGCTTCATGCCCAGCTCTGCCTCCAAGATACACCCCCTACCCAGTCACCTCAAACACTTGATATCAGCCCCCTGCAGCACCGCACATGCTTTTCTCTCTGCCTAGAACCCTTTTTCTTTCACCTGATTGACCTCTACTCATTCTTTAAGAATCAGGTTCTGCACCCCTCCTTCCCTGAACCCTCCATCTGGGTCATGCATCCCTCCTCTGGATTTGCACAGAACTCAGAGAACATCTTTCTCTCATCACACACCTGGTGGCTATTGTCCAGCCCCTTGGATGTGCTCTGAGCCTCCTGAGGTCAGGAGCTGGGCCTTGTTCTGCTTTATGTCCCCCGGCTCTGGCACAATCCTTGGTACAGAACTGGTGTTCAGTACATAGGTGAGCGCGGGAGAAATGCATGAGGTAACCAAAGCAGTCAGTGATACCTGGAGCCCCCCAGATAAACACCGAACTTTGTCCTCCCACGAATAAGCCACCAAATCAATTTTCCTAAAGCAGACTTCCAACCCTTCGTTCCACTCCCCAAAATTTGTGTAATGCGATATCGTTGGCAGTGAGAAGGGACACAGAACTGAAGCCCTGAAGCCAGCGTTATTCCTCCTCTTCCCTGATAAATGCTAACAGCCTTGATGGTCCATGTGTCTCTTCCATTCCTTCCTCAGCCCTGCTACACACACACCTCCAGGCTGCAGGGACACATATACACCTATGACGTGGAGGGTAGGCATGGGCGTGATTCTTCAGCGTTGATGGGTGTTGTGTGGAACACCCAAAACACTTCCAAGGAAATCACAAGCTGCCATCTGTGGAGGTTAGTTTTAATCTACGCCCACGGAGTGGGTAGTATGCTAAACTGGAAACCGCGCTCTGGGAGTGTTCCCGTAGCATTGAAAAGCAGCTGTCCAGGAGCACCCCCCACCCCCAGCCACAGATAACTCAATTCTCTCCATCCCCAATTAACACCCTGGGCTTTGCTAATTAGCATAATGAATGCTGGAAATATGTACATATTTATTGGTCAAATTAGCAGCATTCAAAATATGCGGATTGGCTAAATATGTCCCAGTCTCACACCTACCCCCACAGGAAGACAGTGTGCAGCTTCCTGAGCCCAATATCAAAATCAGTCTGTGACTAGTCACCGATCTGAATGATTCTTGTTCATCTGGTTTTGATGAAAAGGTGAATTGAGTGCAGCTGTGAGAATTACAGGTTCTGTCTTAAATAAACCTTTCAAACAAGGTGCCATAGGAGCACCTAAAAGGACAGAAAGCTGGGACTTCATTGGGCTCACTGAACAAGTGACAGGTTGTGACAGTCTCTGTGCCTGTTTGCTAATAGCTGCTTGGATACATGGTAGAATTCAGATGCTTGGTTGCATTACAATCCACTAGTGAGCTGTGAGACTTCTAGTCATCAAAGATTACCATTACTAAGACTCACCTAACCATCGTGAGCCTCCAGCTTGGTTAGGCAGGTTCAGAACAGCTGTGGTAGCTGCTGGAGGCCTGGACAGGCACAGACTGACTCCCCCATGCCTTGGGGGCACGTGGTGAGGCTGAGACAGTCTCCTAAGGTTCTGCCCTTCAGATGGTGCCCGGGGTCCTTGCCAGCTGTACCAATACAACAGCACTCACCCAGAAGGTCGTGGGTTTACCTCTCTCCACTCGTAGATAGTAAGCTGCCTTAACAAGAGCCAGACACTAGAATCTCCACGTGTGCACCTCCCAGCACGAAGCAGAGCTGAATACGCAATCGTGGAGTTAATGAAATCTGAGTTCTGCTACTCAGAAGCGGAACGAGGAAGTTAGCTCAAATTTCTATGCCTCACTCTTCCCCTCAGTAAGTGCAGAAAACACTGTTTCTCTCCAGGGCTTAGAGGATTAATGGAGATAACATATGTGAAATGAACTGCTGGTAGGTGCCCAAGGCTCTTTTTAGGGAGTTGCAGGAAGCCGCAGCTGCCCTTGCCACAGTGGCAGGGGGGTGGACCAGGAGTCAGCCCCCTTCCAGCAGAGCTCAGCCAAGCACTCTAGAGCGCTGGTGAACGGACACGCCAGCTCCTTGGCCCAGCTGCTGGGATGATTCCAGAGTGTGCTTTGTACTGATTCATGGGATTAAGCACAGCTGGCCTCAGAGCCCACCCTTTATTGGCTGTCTTCTTTGCATCACTTCCCTGACAGCTCTGCTTATTTTCCTTGCCCTTCCTAAGTAGACACACTCCTGGATCCTTGTCTCATGGTTGATTCTGGGAGAACCCAAACTAAGACATAAAGTACAATGCTATGCACTTGGCAACACACGACCCGTGACAGCAATTGTACATAACTAACAGACTCATTTTTAAATGGTCCATCCTATTTTTAGGTACTCACCAGACATCTAATCTGCCAAGGTCTTTTTTTCCTATCAAATTTTAAGTTTTTGTGGGCATAAGGGGACATTTAATCTATCTTTCATCCATTTTCACATCAAGATATTGTCCAAAACTAGCCATATGCATTCCTAGAGCTTTCTAAGATATTTTTCTTAGAAGTAGGAAGGTTGATCTAGCCGACACCAAATAGTTGCAAACACTTCGTTGGAAATCTGGGAGATGCAGCCCTTGGCGGGTTCCTCTCCTGAGAACACACACCAACCCAGGCACAAGGGTTAAGCAGGAATCTCATCTTCTCAGCCATCACTAGTTGCTGATGGCAGGAAAGAGAAACCTCATGGCAAAAAGTGCTGTGTCTTCAAATTGGATGAAATGGCCTCGAGGTGTTTTGTGGGGTTGTTTGTGTATTTGTTTGTCTGTTGTGGGCTGACACATCTGTGTTGCTGCAATCCTCATCAGTCCACTAAGATGGGCGAAGAGGAGGCCTGCTGTATTTAACAATTTCTGCATGTGTCACCCCAACTACCTGTGACTCCTTGAGAACAGAAACCACTCTGTCCATCTTTGCACTCCGTACCTGGCCTGGTCACCACACACCTGCCTAGCAGGTGCTTGGATATGAGGGAGGAGGAGTGAGCACAAGGGCTGTGACCACTGAGTGAGGACTTGCTGCCCACTCACCTCCTTTCCAGCTGTTCACACACTCCCAGCTCACCTCTGCAACTCACACTGACCCTACAGCTTTCCTGAATATTCTGTCCCTTCTGCCAACAGCCCTCTGAAATCCCTACCATAGAATATGCTGTTCGCTGACGTTAAGACAAATGTCTGGAGTATAGCAGGCCCCACAGAGATATCTGAGGCGTGAAACTCGTAGTTACTGCAAACTCCTTAATTTGCTGGTACAATGACAATTCGGAAGCACTTTCTGCTTCCAGTAAATTACACACGGGACCACAGAAGCAGACATTATACATGGGACCATGGCACTGCGAGCTGGGTAGCGAGCTTCCACGGACAGTGCTGCCTCCAAAGCCGAAGGCTTGAGCCTAGCCATGGCACTAATGCAAAGGTCGTTCTTCGAAGTGTGTCATGTCACAGCTCCGAGCTTCGCTCTCACAGGTAGAACTGTGATGTAACCCACTGCCTCACCAGATTGTCGAAAGGATCAATCGAGTTGGAGCACGTGAGAGTACTTCATATAATGCAATACAGATAACAACACGCTTACTATTTGAATTTAGTGTATTCTGCTGGGTTGTAATTTCCTACTCCTGGTGATAAATTCACTTATGCTTTGTAAGTAAATGCTAATTCTCCATTAACCAGGCCACCCGCTGAACCAGGTTCTGGCAGTGAGCTGCTTAATGAAGGAAATGTCCATACCCAGAGGTCCGAGTGAGTGCCTCTATTGGGTATACAGTTGGCAGACTAGGGACCAGGGACCAGAGACCAACGCCTTATACTATAGCCTGCACAGCATGCCAGCACTTCATTCAGTAATACATAAACACATGCCCCGTTTTACAGTTGGAGACCCTAAGGCTCAGTGTGGTTAAGTGTCTTGAATAAGGTCACAGAGCAAGGGGAAAAGGGGGACTCAGTTTTGAGGATTTTAAATCCCAGCCATGGTGCCTGCTTGCTCCAGCACCATTCTGCTGCACCATACGCATTCCTTCTCTACTCCTCCCAACCACCCTGAGGGTCAGAGGTCATCACTATCCTCACTTTATAATTGAGAAGCCAGCAAGGCCATACAGTGAGGACACATTCACACTGGGATTTGAATCCTGGGGTCAGATTTCGAAGTCTAAATTTGAACATCTATCCACAATTGTAAAGTGGGAACAGAGAGGCCAACCTTCAACCAAGTTTGGCAGGGGTAGAGTTTATCCTTTATTGTCCCTAGCCCCCTCCCTGTGTTCTCTCAATCTATTCTAATTCTATTCCCTCCCCTGCAGTAGCTCATATCCCTAGAATCCTCCTCCTCTTTCCCTCCATCAATATCTGTTGTTAGGAAAGCATATCTATCAGCTATTCACACTTCAGTAAGAGTTTAAACCACTATGTTTCTTTTCTCAGAGGTTAATTGTATTTAAAGACTAACCTCTTCTTTGGGAAAGGAAAGATTTGTGCCTTATTTTTCTCACTTGGAGCTAGCCTCCTGATCAGTCTGGGTATAAGGGAACCTCCACTTTAGAATATCAAGAATGTACCCCAGTTTGCCTAAAATCCCTAGCATAGGTCACCTTCCTTGAACCTTTGCCTCCACTCCAGAATACACACACACATACCAGGCACTGAAAAAAACGAAAAACTTCAGAAGTCTTTCAGTAATCATTCCTTTTCTGGGAGGCCAGACAAGGGCACAGTCTTCATTTCTTGGGCACATCCCAAGCACATGCTCTGAGTTAAGCAATTCTGGATTTATTGCCCATGAATCTATCATATGTCTTTCTTGAAATGCCTGTTTTCACCCTGGGCTACCTCTCAGAGTAATGAATACCATATGTTTACTACCCATCATATAAATAAGCTATTTGATTTTATTTATCCCAAAAGAAACTATTTAAGCCTCATGGAATTCTACCAAATTCTGCAATATTTTTTCCAGGCTTTAGTAACCATGCACTCCACAGATATGTGTATTTTCTATGCCAGGTTTTATGCCCGACGGTGTGAATCCAGACATTAATGAAACACAGTCAGTCTTAAAATACAAAACACAAAGACAAATTTAAAGAATAATGACAACAATAATATAATCTACGATTAATACTATGTGACAGGCACTCTGCTAACTTCTTCATGTGTATTATCCACACGTGCCGAGGCAGAGGAGTCGTTAAGAACGGCAGTTTGGGAACTGCAGTACATGGTTTCAGATCTCAGCCCTCCTGTTTACAAGCTCTGAGACCCTGGGACATTATCTCACTTCCATATGCCTCAGTTTCTTCAGCTGTGAGGTGGGCATAACGATAAGAGGGCCTCCCTTGAAGCATCATGTTGAGGATTCATGAGTATAGATCAAGGCCTCAGAGCAGTGCCTGACTCACAGCGCATGCTACATGTCATTTCCATTAGGAAGGCCTTGCTGGTAGGAAGAATAACTTTGAAGGAATATAGACAAAAGGCAGAGACTCACCCTTGATGAATTCCTGGCCTCCCAGACGCAACGTCACCTGGCGGCTCTCCTGGTCATATGTCACACCAGGACACGTGGCATTAGCCTGGGCCTCAAAGGAGCCCCTCCAGTCTTCGACATTGCAAAGCAGGACATCGGGGGAGCTCAGCAACCCACAAAGGATGGGACCTGCAGACCGACCAGAGGGAGGAGAGGTCACAGGAGGGACACCAGCAGGGCCCCATAGCCCCACCTCTGTGCCCTGAGAGCCTGTGGATAGGGACGGGTGACAACACCTCAGGAGAAGACAGGAACACTGGAATTCAATAGCCTGGTTTTAAATTGGGACGATCTTCCCTCCTAGTGATGTAGTTGTCTTACTGGCGAATTCCCTAGCGGAGACCACCATGGCTGCTGGGCCTTCCCTCTCCCTTATAGCCTCTTCTTCACAGGATCTAGAGCAATGACAGTCCCCCCAATACCCTGGGGGGGTTACTTCCAGAATCTTCAGGCTCCACTTCTACCCCAGCCAACAGAGAGATCTTTTTGAGCTGCTGCTTTTGCTTCTGCATTTTCCTCTCCTCCTCCTCTTCCTCCTCCTCCTTCTCTTTCATGCTCTCTCTCTCTCTCTCTCTCATGCATGTACATCCATGTGCACATACACACACACACACACACACACACACACACACACACACACACACTGATCAACCTGGAAGGGACTCAAGAGGGAGTATTTAGATTCGAGGTAAGAAACTATTAAAAACTAAGACCTGTGCACCTATGACGTGAATTTCCGGCTGCGTGCCCAAATGCCTGGGACGTCTAGAGAGAAATCTGCAACGAGGGGAGACATGGGACTATTTTGTCACAAGCATGTCTTCTAATCCTGCATTTTAAAAAGATGCCCCATGGTTATGACTTTATTTAGCAACAGAAAGACCTTCCCCCCAAGCTAATGACATTTGACAGTGATTTTAGTTGGATAATTTCATGTAACTCAAACGTTTTTAAGGTCTGCTATGTGCCAGCCACTATGGCCACGGCTTTAAGTATATTGATTTCCTTAGTTCTTATAGACATTACTATCTCCATTTTTTAAATCATTATGGGTATACAATAATTGTATATCTTTACAGGGTACATGTGATGTTTTGACACAGACACACAATGTGACTTAATCAAACCAGGGATTATTTTCATTTTTCTGATGAGGAAACTGAGTCTCATAAGTTAGGCAAATCACCCAAGTTTACTCAGATCTGCAAATTAAATAATTTATACATCATTTGGATAAATAAGCTTTATAGGTTGTATAGTTGTTCAGACTCCTAAAAAAAAAAAAAAAGGAAATATATCCCCCCGCAACTCACAACTCCTACTTCGTTCCTTATCCTAATTTCCTAATTTATGTCCAAAATCTGGATATAGCTTCAAACTATTCTGTTTCCAATATTTCCCCAGACTAGATGACTCATGGATGTCTGGCCTACGAATTTCACATTTTGTCCTTTTCCCTTCTACTGGCCACTTTTGAACTGCAGTAGTTAAAAAACCAGCAGCACAGAAACTTTTCAAAAGAAGACAGAATAATGGCCAAGAAACATATGAAAAAATGCTCAACATCTCTAATCATCAAGGAAATGCAAATCAAAACCACAATGAGATATCACCTATCTCCAGTGAGAATGGCCTTTATCAAAAAGTCCCAAAACAATAAATGTTGGCATGAATGCGGAGAGATAGGAACACTCACACACTGCTGGTGGGACTGCAAACTAGTGCAACCTCTGTGGAAAGCAATATGGAGATACCTCAAAGAGATACAAGTAGAATTACCATTTGATCCAGCAATCCCATTACTGGGCATCTACCCAAAAGAACAAAAGTCACTCTATGAAAAAGACACCTGCACTCGAATGTTTATAGCAGCACAATTCACAATTGCAAAGATGTGGAAGCAACCCAAGTGTCCATCAATACATAAGTGGATTAATAAAATGTGGTATACCATGGAGTCCTATTCAGCTTTAAGAAACAATGGTGATACAGCACCTCTTGTATTTTTCTGGATAGAGCTGGAACCCATTCTACTAAGTGAAGTATCCCAAGAATGGAAAAATAAGCATCACCAGCAAATTGGTTTCACTGATCAATACCTAAGTGCACATACAGGAATAACATTTATCGGGCGTCGGGCAGATGGGAGTGGGGAGGAGGAGATGGGTATATACATACATAATGAGCATGATGCGCACCATCGGGGGGGATGGACACACTTGAAGCTCTGACTGGGAGTGGGGGCAAGGGCACATAATCTAAACATTTGCACCCCTGTAATATGCAGAAATACAAAAGAAAAAAAAAAACAGCAGCAGCGTCTCTGCATTCGTAAAATTGTCTTCGAGGTCATCCAGTGTGGTGGTTCCCAAACCACAGCACTTGGGCTGATGGTATCAAAAACACAGGGAGAGTTTTGAAAATGCTCATTTCTAGGCACCAACCACAGAGTTTCTGACTTGGCAGGTAGCACGTATGGGGTGGATGGCATTTGGGAATCAGTGTTTGTAAAGGGAACCACAGAGCAGAATTGCTGACCTAGTTAGATCACCTCATTTCAAAGATGGGGAAACTGAGGGAAGAAAGGAAGAGTGGTTTTTGTAGGTGCTGAGGAATCATGGAATGGCCAGCAGGCAGTGACTGCCTGGGCCCAAGGGCAGGACCAGCACGGGGCACAGTCAGAGCCTGCGAGAGCTCGAGGAAGTCTGAGCACTGTGGTCTGGCCCTCTCACGAGCCAGAAAACAGAATTAAACAAGAGGTGGGGTGCATTTTCCTTCTGCTCTCAGATCTCAGTAGAGAAACCAACGCAGCTTTCTTCTTTAGCTAGTGCCAAAGTGTCCTGAGAAGTCTGTGCCTGAGAGGCAGGGGCCAGGGAGAGACTGGAAGTCACTTTGCTGGTCACATACTGTTAGCTCCAGTCACATTGGTGTGACCTTCAGGCCATACAAGGCCCTCTGAGCCCCTCTTCCAAGCAGCTTCAACTGAAATGTAGGTTCAGAAGCCTCATCAATTCTTTGAAAACAAAGCCATTTAGGGGCTGGAGGCTGGAGGGGGCTGGGGAGTTGCTGGAAGGGTTGGGCGGAGGGAGGGAAGGGGGAGGAGGGGGAAGCTACCAGAGTTAAATGACTTTCCAGACTGTGGCAAAGGATGCAGCAGGATTCTGTTCCTAGTCGTCAGCAGAACCTGCCAAAGCATTGTAAGTTAAAACTCCAAATCTGCCCCTTGGACAAGACTGGGGAAAACATCTGCCTGACACTTCGTGTGTGCCTCAAAGAAGGCTTCGCTTTCAGCATTGCGAGGTGGCTGTTCCGCTCACATAATTCACAGATCACAGGTCACGCTGGGAGGGAGGAGCAAGCAAGCTGCTGGACAGAATTTTTGTGGGTTTGCTGCTCCACGGAACAAAACAGTTCTTCCATATATGATCCTAAGGAAAATGAAGTCAGCCTTTCCAGCTTGAAAAACCATATGGTCTGGTGAGTAACCGAGCATCTGGGGAAATTGTGGTGCCCTCAGAAAACACATTTAGTTCAAAGAAGGAATCATGGATGTGTTCTAAATATAGGTACACAGAAAGACATAGACATATATGTGGAGATATATGCATGTGTGCCTGTGTGTGTGTGTGTGTGTGTGTGTGTAACATTCTTTCCGTATCTAAACACTAACATGCATCCACATCACATGATCATAGAGCATTAAACCTAGAAGGAATTTTAGAAATCAACTTGCTCTAATCTGGGTTCTTGCCCACCACTCCAACAAAACATTCTCATTTTAGCCGCCACTGACCACAATGAGCTAAACTCGGCATTTTTCAGTAATTACTTTGTTTGAACTCTCAGCGCATTCATTTCAGGGAGGTGCCACTCTCCTGGGTCTCCTCCCCCTGCCTGGCGGCTGCTTCTCCACCTCTACGCACCCTAGCGCACTCTCTACCCCTTTGCAGCTGTTCCCCAGGGTCAGCCCTTCCCCCTTCCTCTCCTCACCAGGACCCTCTTCCCAGGAAATCCACCCACCCCACACCTTCTGATACCACCTCACTGCTGGTAATTCACACCCTATATCTCCCACCCAGACTTCCCATCTGAGCACCCCAAATGGACTCACTTCCTAAATGTCCCTCTCCCATCACCAAATCTGACATCTGATATCTTCCATTATTCACCACATGACTAGACCATTCAACGAGGTGAACAAGCCAAATACCCAAGAATAACCTTTGCTGCCTCTTCTTCCACCCCATATCCAAAGTCCTGTTGAATATTCTTCCTGTTGCTCATCTCCACTGCGACCACTCTAGGCCCCGCCACCACCCCATCCTCCCTGGACCGCTGCAGCAGTTCCCAGCTAGTCTCTACATTCGCTCTAACCCTCACCCATGACCTTTTCCACACTCAAGCCAGACTGCTCCTTCCAAAACCCAAATCTGATCATGACCCCTCCCTGCTTAAAATCTTCAGTAATTTTAAGTGCAACCTACAAGGTTCCACATGCTCTGGCCCCGCCTGTCCCCCTCCCCTTCTCAAGCCTCCCGCCTGGCACTCCCTGCCCAGGATCACTCCTTCCTCAGACTCCCCCCCTTCATCCGCACCCTCTTCCCACAGGGCCTTTGCACATGCTGTTCCCTCCCTCTAGAATCAGCTTCCCTCTTCTCTTCACTTGGTTTAAACCTACATATTGCTCAAGATTTAAGGAAGTCTTAGTTTATCTCTCTGAATAGGGCAAAATATTTATTTGTTTTCAAAGTAACATTTAACTTGACTTCAGAGCGTAGCAATTAACAACCGGCCTTTCCTACCTCTGGACCTGAGAGGAGGCGGCAGAGGCAGGGAAGTAGAGCACAAGCCGTCTGTGCCATGAGTCAGGAAAGCTGAGTCCTGCTCCACGCAGAGACCCAGCCAAAAGTGAGCGTCAGCTGGGTCACTTCCTCACTCTGTGCCTACAGTCTGCATGGCTCATTTTATTAAGCCACCAGGGAGATGGATATGTGGACTTGCATACAAAGAGAAAGGACAAAGTAGCATTCCAGGAGCAGGAAATCATGAGCAGGCCTTCAAGTCAGCAGGGGGACGTGGAGCTCGGGGAATCTAGGCAGGTGGCTGGTGGCTGGTGGCTGGTGATGAGA